TCACCACAATACCATTATCACTTTCCCCAAAAACACATGTTTCCTTGATATAAATATGGAGGAATGAATTTGGAATAAAGTGTAAGTCTAACCTTCAAGGAATTTATAGCTTTGTGGAACAGATAGACAAAAACTCAGTAATTATAGTGATTATTCATATCCGTGAGTGTGATTATAGTGGAATAGCATCACGTGCCTGTGTAAATCATCTGAAAATCTGATCTGTTTAAGTGGTTGGGGGTGGTCCTAGCAGGGAGGGTAGGGAAGTCAAGGGAAAAAATAATAATGTAAATCATGGGAGGCATTTCTCCTGCTTCCTTTTTCCATGGATAGATGACCAATGTCAATCAGTGTAGGCAGAATCCTACCTCTCCTTCAGTCAGGCTCATTTCTTGCTTGCCTTTCAGAGTGTGAACATCTCACCACCCTAAATATAATTCTAGTGTTTAAGATAAATCTTTTCAAAAGCATTCATCTCTCATCTCTTCAACAAGACTGAATGCTCTCATAGGGGAAGGGGTATCCAACGACCTGTAGCTTATAATTGTCACAGCAGATAAGCATAGCAGGACTTCAGTAACCAGCCTATCAAAGTTTCCTATGTACCCCTGGTTGAGAACCCTGAATATGTAGCTCTTGTGATTTTTATGTTTCACAAACTTGTTTCCAACTTGTAATGTGGAGCCAGGTTCAGTAAGAAGAACAAGGACAACATAAATCCTTATACACACCTGCCTTTTGGAACTGGACCCCGAAACTGCCTTGGGATGAGGTTTGCGATCATGAACATGAAACTTGCCCTGGTCAGAGTCCTGCAGAACTTCTCCTTCAAACCTTGTAAAGAAACACAGGTCAGAGAGAGAATTTTCTTCAAAAAGAATATTTTATTTTTTTAAAAACTAACAGATATGGAATAGGTGTCGTGTGTGTGTGTGGTGGGGGGGGGCTCGTTTATCCTTAGTAATTTGTTCTATCAGCCAGAGAATCTATCTGGAGTCATCTGTGACCTTGAAAGTTACTTCAGCTCTTGAGTGCCACATCTGTGGTTTATGGCCACCCAGTCATAAGGGTCATGTAGTCAGTACCATTCATGTGACATCATTATGCACAGACCTATGATCCTGAGCAGTATTTTAAATTTCTTTCAAGTCCACTGAAAGGAAGGGAACATGTTGTACATAGTCATGACGTGCAGTGATAACCACGATGTGACTTTTGAAGGATCCTCTTCTCCACCATAACTTACAGATACTCTGGTGACCGAGGTTCTCAAACCCTCATTGTACATGGGAATCAGTGGGTTTGTTAAAAATCTGGATGCCCAGGTCATCTCAGAAACTCTAATGTAATTCTCCCAGAGTGTGGCTTTAAAAGTGCCCCCATGATTCTCAAGGGCAAGCAAGGTTGAGACTCAATGGTGTGAAGCATGTCTGCCTGATGTGAAGGACTCCCAGGGTCCAGGCCATCCTGGCTACTTGGCTCTACCTTCCGCAAGCTTGGCTCCGGTCAGGCTGTGCTCCCATCCCATCCCAATCTGTCATCATGAATGGATGTTTCCATGGCAGAGGTGACAGGATGTTTAGCAGTGTGGATGTCCACACAGTAAAATGTGTAATAAACACTCAAGATTCAACATATGAAAATTAACTCTGGCACTTTTCAGAATTGTTTGCCACAATGGCTAAGAACCTCTTGTAAATTTTAAACACTCACCCTTTTTTCTTAAAATTAAAATCAAAAAAGAACACCAGCCAATATGAGTGTGTCTCCAGCCTGGTACAGAGTAAGTATTCAATAGATATTCTGTTGAAAGAGTGATGGATGAATGCTTCCATGCTCCGTCTTGACAGCTTACAGAGTAATCTTAAAGAATCAGAGATAGATGAATCTAAAAATAGTATTTATATGTTTGTAATGCATTATTGTCCTTCATGTATCTTGCTTGCTTTGCTTCTGTTGTTGGCAGGGTTTCATTTGTTGGTTCTCATATGCTTACCTGTTGCAGATCCCCCTGAAATTAAGTACTCAAGGGTTGATTCAACCAGAAAAACCCATTGTTCTCAAGGTTGAGCCAAGAAATGGGAGTGTGGACAGAGCCTGACTTTCTCTAAGGACTTCCCCTTTGCTCTTCAAGAAGCTGTGTCCCAGATCACCAGAGACCTCAATTTTCTTTGTGAGTAAAACCCAGAAATGAAGATGGCCTTCATGTACTGCCCATGATAGATGACTAGGGATTCCATACATTCATTTGGCTTTTTTGGTGTCTGTGTGGAGCATTATAGATTGTGGAGAGTGAAGGAGGTGGTAATAATTGCCAGAGATGTAGACTCAGCCTGTCTGGTTCACACAGACTACCCTCAGTTAGTGCCAGCTACTCCCCTGAGCATCGATCAAGAATAAAACTTTCTCAACAATTTTCTCAACAAACTTTAATGAAAACAAGAATTAGTGTCATGACTGTGCTAGTGACATTTATATCATATGCCTTACTTTGAATATTTTACATTAACTATCACACTGACCCAGTCAATCAACACCTCTTTACAAAAGTATTAACTGATGGTTTTGTGCACATTAAGGGGGAATCCGTAGAACTGATGAGTGAGAGCCAGCGACTGAATGTTTTGACCATCACAGTCACTGGGTGGCTGGAGCTTGTTCAGAACTCCAATGTGGTATGTTAAGATAGGTGAGAGTTGGGGCACCTGGGTAGCTCAGTCAGTTAAGCATCTGCCTTCAGCTCAGGTCCTGATCCCAAGGTCCTGGGATGGAGTTCCACGTAGGGCTCTGTGCTCAGCAGGGAGTCTGCTTCTTCCTCTCCCTCTGTCCCTCCTCCTGCTCATGCTCTTTCTCTCAAATAAATAAAAAAAAAAAAAGGTGAAAGTTAATCCACTATGACTTTGCCCATGTCTCAGAAAGAATGTTCAGAGTTTAATTCTACAGGTTTTGGAGCACATGTTTTTTATAACTCTCTATTGAGACACTTAGTATTGTATGATTCATTTTCATCTCATCTGCCCTGCTGTTCCGGGAGGCAGGGAACATGCTTTCTCTCTGTGTTCCAGCCTCAGCTCCCAATTGTCCTGACACAATGAACATGGTTTCAGAGATAGTTGATTGGCCAGTTGATTGGACAGAAAGGCTAAAAGCATTTGTCCATTTCAGCTGGTATCAGAAGCTGCACAGGATTGTTCCTTTTCCTTCCCTCCCCTCCCCATTCCTTCTTTCCCTTCTCCTCTCTTCTCTTGCTTTGCTTTCTTCCTAGATAATTCAGTCCTAAAGCCATAGGTGGGGCATAACCAGGTAGACAGCCCCACAGTGGGGGTCAGAGGTAGAGAAGGGAGTCACAGTGACTCCAGGTTAGAAACTGAGTAGGGTGAAGAGGGTGTCCACGTGGAAGAGCAGCCTGGCATGGGTGTGGGAGCCCAAGGTCAGTGAGAAGGGTGCCCACACAGAGGGTTGGTCTGGCAAGAACCCCCGGAGCCTAACTACAGTGTGGAAAACCCAAGTAGCATGATGGGGGCATACATGAGTGTGAAGGGATGGAGTGAGGGTTAGTTACATGAAAGGGGATTGATCAAGTAAGTAAATATATTAAAGCTACATGGTTTCAGGGGTTTCTCGATGTTGGAGAAGTGTCATGCTATCCTATGGATACATGATAGATTGGTAGAAAGAGATAGAAATGTGTGTGTTTGTCTTTGTGTAAAAACACATATCCCCTACCTCTCTCCACAGACAGTTCTTAGAAACATGACATTGTAAGAGCAATGAGCATACCTTGTGCCCATTTTTGGCTTATAAATGTCATTTTTGACTGCAAGGAACTAGGGCTTTTCAGAGAAATGGCTGATTCCAGGCTGGGAGAGCACATGATGAGCCTGGAGCATCTTGTGCTACACAGTGATGGGGACACATCCACAGGACACAGAGCTAATGTGAGGGGTTTCACCCACCCATCAGGCACGATTTGGGCATCATGGTCACTAACGATAGGAAGAGATTATAACCCATTGAATAAAACTGGAAAATCGAGTACATACATGTGGAAAGAAATACAGGGACAGATTACAATTGAAGAGGACACTCACACAGTTTCAAAGTACTACAGCTGAGACAGCCATGAGTTACTGAGGAAAGAGCAGCTCACAGAGCGGAGACCTGGCAGACCAGTGAGCCTCATCAGGAACAGGAGGAAGTGATGGAGCATCACCTGACAGGATGTGGTGAAAGGAACCCAGCGTCACCTCGGGGATATTCTTGCCAAGGAGGCAAACCTGAAAAGAAATCCCAAGAATTGTCAGACAAACCAAAATAAAGGACTATCTACTCCTAATCTGTAACTGGTGTGTAATCTTCTACAAAGTCACAGTCCTGAAAATGATAAATAAGAAAAAAACAAGCCAGGATGGGAGTCACTTGCCCCCCCAACCCCACCACACAGCAAACAATGCCTAATTACCTCGATTGAATATCCCAGGAATCATGGAATACTACATCAAAAACTAATGATGTAATGTATGGTGATTAACATAACATAATAAAATAAAATAAATGATTATAAAAAATAGAGAAAACCCAAAATAAATTAAGCAAACAAAAAGTATTTATTGCCAGATCTAAGTGAAATACTGGAGAGAATTGTTCAGGTAGAAGAAAAACCTAGATGGAAAGATTGAAATGATGAAAAGAGGTACTGTGTAGGTAAATCCAATGAATGTTAAGTGATTAAGACAGTAACAGTGTCTTTTGGGTGTTTATTATATATGTATAATTAAAGTCTACAAAAATAAAAAATAAAAAGAAAGTATCCCAGGAAGATGACCATTTTTTTTTATTCTTATGTTAATCCCCATACATTACATCATTAGTTTTAGATGAAGTGTTCCATGATTCATTGTTTGTGCATAACACCCAG